TGGAGCTTTGACATGTCTGGGAGTGTACTGCACCCTTGAGGAGCCCGATTACATTCCCCTATGAAGAGATGCATCTTATTTCCTGTTTTAACTGTGCTGACCTGCACTTCCAGCACCTGGATCTTGTTATGACTCTGTTAGATCAAAGAGCCCTCCACCACCAGACACCTTCTCCCCTTGTGGTTATTTATAGGTTTGTCTAAACAGCTTCAAGCTTTACTCTGAAAAACTCCATGGCTGGAAGGCCTAACACACACATTGAGATGCATTTTGCATTCTGGAAATGCTTCTCCACCCTCTGTGCATGTTGCATCTTTTTAAAAGGTGAATGTAAATTCCAGATGTAACCCCTCAGCGCTATCCGGAGAGCTGATCCGCATCCCCCCACGCCTCGCTACGAGCCCAGGCAGGACAGTCCTTTCTGCCAAAGATCAGCCTCCTCTACCAAATAACAAAACCAGCAAGAAATCTGCAAGGGTTTTACTTCAAGGGGCTTTAATTAACACACATTTATTGCCAACAATAACACCAGTGCTGGTTTAGAGAGGAGAATAAACAACACCAATAAACAAATAATATTTCTCAAAATAGTAAAAAAAAATAGCAGCAGCATGGCTATAAGCTCTCTGCATTTCAGTTTTCATTTCTGCAAGGCATAAGCCAATGTCAATAGGGGGAAAATAAATTCCCAAACATTCTCAGATGTGCAGTTTACTCCCTCCTTGCCCAGCAGCAGCTTCCTCTGCATATCAAGTGTTTGTCACTGTCAAGCTGCATGACAAAACCTCCTCAGATCTGGTCAGCCAAGGAATTGGGGGGGGGGCTCACAGGAGCTTTTCAGCAACAAATGGGTGCAGGGAGGATGTTGGTGGCATTCTCACAGCTAAGGGGTCTAAGAATCTAAATTAATTCACTGTTGACTATTTTGGTTTCTGAATTAAGGGGCTCAATTAAGAGCACATTGGTCACAACATGCCCTCTGGTGGCAACGGTGCCAGGGTGGCTTGGGGCAGACCCAGAGCATGCAGTGGCAGCTGCCTCCTTTCAGGGCTGGGTGCTGCAAGGACACAACGGCAGCAGCTCCAGCCTTTGCTCTGGGCCTGTCCAAGGCACATCTCTCTGGCAAGCCAGAAGCACAGTGACATTTAAGAGCATAAAGGGACATTAGATCATTTGGCCTGGCTTCCTGTCTAACACACGCTGCAGAATTTCAGCCCTACATCGAGCTCAGTAATTTCCATCTGACTAACCACCTCTTGCAAAGTTGTGATTTTCAAACATCAAGGTCATACAGCCAGCCTTCTGCAGGCTTTTCTGCTACACTGAACACCTCTCAGTCTCAAAAAAAAAAATTACAAAGCCTTGGGCTTTCCCTACCCAAAGAGCCCAGAGTCATCAGTTCCTATTATTCTTTTTAAATATGAATTTCAACAAGCTTTACAGCTTCCCGTCTGGGATTGTACGTATCAAAATAACCATTCAGCTGTATCTCAGCAAGGTTCATCTTCTTGTCTGGGGTCACATAACTGTTTAGTGTCAACACACCTGGGAATCCCAAGTCCTACCCGTTCTTTTAAATAATCTGCATGTGATTCAGAGTAAAAAATACATGAACTTTTTTTCCTTTCTCAGTTTGACACCAGTGCGAAAGTGTTTTGCTGTTGCAAAAAATGGAAAACGAGGAAAGGTTCCAATCTTTGGGAAAATACAACATGCCCAGGAAGGCACACAGACTATCGCCATCCTGCATTTTTTGTTTTGCTGCCAGATGACCAATTTCACAGCGCTCCAGAGGAAACTGGCACATTAAAATGGCGAATTCTTCCAGCGGCACTATCATTTCCCACTTCACATGGGCTCCAAAATAAAGATGTTGTCCTCTACCTATGGACACAAACTGGCAGCAGGGTTCCGCTTCCGAATTCTGTCCCTGTCAAATTGGATCCCTGGCAACAACATCTTTTAGCATGGTACTGAAGAGCTCCTTTTTTGCTAGTCCCCTCTTGTCTTGGCTAGCTGGTCTCCTCTAGTGGCTGCTAGCAGTTACTTCAGAGCAGCCAGTACTTGAGACATGCAAGAAACTCTTAAATCACGAACTAACAGCACCTTTATGGAAGTTTTCTATTCCCACCCCATCAGTTAGAGGGGAACTATGCATGAGGGAAGAATTATGTACCCACACCATAAAGAGGGATGCTGTATCCATCATTTTAGGACTGTTTACAAATCTGTGGACTAGTGGATTTCTGCCAGGCTCTGGACACTGTGCACGTGATGGGTCCAACATGGACTGCACTGCTCTGGGAAGAGCTTTCCAAGGGTACAGCATCACCACCAAGAGTATTTGAATGTCAGATGCTGCTTTTTATCAGCTCTGAAAGAATCTCACAAGGAATGCCAGTACTTACAGATGGGAAAATAAAATGGAGCAAAGAGACTCGCCTATGGTTACTCAGCAGGCTGAGTCCAGGCAGAGCCAGGACTAGAGCCCAGAATAAAACAATGCATTGCTCCACTGACCACAGCAGCCAGCCTCTAACAGCATTTCTCACTGCAGGGCTTCCCCCACCACTCCCCTTCCCAAACCAAAGCCCCTGGAGTGCAAAGAGCAAGAGACTTAAACAGTTTCTTTTCTGAAATTTGTCTACGAAGTTTTGGGAAGGAAGAAAAAAGAATATTCCCTAGAGAGTAAAAAAAACAGGCAGCACAGGGCTGTGAAGCACTCTTACTTACACAATAGCTCCCACAAATGAATAAACCAGGTAATGCAGTACATACAGGCAAAGAATCAGCAAGAGGCATCAAATGCAGAGGAGCACGCCCAAACCAGGCCAAACACCTCAGCCAGAGCAGGAAATAATGCTTATGCTGGAATTTCAGCAGCCTCACTTGCAACAACCTGTCTCTGTAGAGGGAGCTCACAGCAGGAGACAGCGGGTGCCAGAAGAGGACTGAAGAGTTGTGGCTGCTCCTCTGGATGTTGCAGATGCATGTGCAACACTGAAGGAAGGCACTGCACTGACCTTGCCTCTGTCCGGGCAGGCAGATTCCTCAGCTGCAGAAGGAGCTTGCATGATGCAAGTAGGCATGGGAAAGTTTACATTTGGTAGCCTCATCTGACCTCACAGCAGAGTCTGCTTCTAGCAGGAGACTGGACTAGAGACCTCCTGAAGTCCCTTCCAGCCTGAATTGCTCTGTGGGGCATTTGATCCCTGATGGGAATACAGGCTAGGTTAGACAAGGCTCTCAGCATTGCTTGGGTAGCAGCTGGGCATTTCAGACTTGAAATAATTAGCTGAGAATTGCTGACAGATGTGGGGGGTCTGAAATCTTGCAATGCTCCTTTCCTCCAAAACCTGAAGGAAGAAAGACTGTGCCTATGTTCTCAGTAACTGCTCGGCTCCACTTTCCAATTCCCAGAAAGATGCCCCAGGCCAGCTCAGGAAGACACCAAATACCCTCCATCCATACGGACAGAAACAATCATTGCAGAGAAAAACAATAATTAAGAGTCAGCTGGGGCAGAGGGAAGCTGAGTGGCTCTACAGATCAGCAGTTAGTTCTCCAGAGCCAAAAGGTGCTGGGTCTCAATCTGTGTTTATCAGCATCGTGTCTGTGTTTTACATGAAGCAGTTAAGTGCACAAACACTCCTGAAGGCAGGGACTGAAAGCCAGGTTTGTTTCTTTCTGGGCAAGTGTGGTAAATAACAGGCTGAAAAGTGACATTACGCAGTACTGGAGACAAGAGATTAAGAAGAGACTATCCTAGTGCAATAAAACAACAAGGAGTTATGAATCAATTACATGCTGTATTTACACTGCAGCCCTCAAACTCAGTAAGATAACCCAGCTAAATATCCTCATCCTCCTCACTGCATAGATGGGGAACAGGAGAGACTTAGCAAGTCAGTAGCAGAGTTAAGAGCAGACTCAAGTCCTGACCTGCACGCGTCTCAAACACGTGCGGACTACTCCCTCACTCTGCACCGGGTCCCTGCCCAACCTTTCTTCTACCTGAAAGACTTCAGGATCTAACTCCACACCACCACAATTTATTTCTTCTTTTTTTCCCCTGCTAAGTGTGATGACTAGCATATTATATTACAAGGAGAAAATGCTGCCTTACTCTGTGCTCTGATGCACACAGTGTTCATCAGCAAAAGCACCTGTCCACACTTACTCCCCTGGATTTTACTCATCCCCTGATGAGTATTTACTCTTACTCATCCTGATGAGAATATTTACTCATCCCCTGGATTTGCTACAAGAGCAACTTCTAAATTGGTTGAATTAACCTGATGGCAAGCTGAGACTAAGGGGCACAGCATCTCTCATGGTACATGCATAGTACCAGCCAGTCTGAAACTCCCTCAGTGCTCCTACAGACATTTCTGGCACAGTCCATGTCTGTCTTTGCAGCAGCACCGCATGAATGTTTTCAGCCCAGACCTGCCAGAGTTTACTTCCCTTCCCATCCAAACAATTGGACTCAGACACTTCAAGAATTACTCAGCAAATTGCAACCTACCAAAATTAAGCACTCACATTTCCCCCCTTTTAGCTTCATCTTCAGTGTCAGCTTACTCGCTGGCATGCGGACATCCAGAAGTTCCTCAACTGAAAGCCACAAGGGCTCAGCATGGCTGTGAACACAGCTCTACATCTCTTCTTAACACACTAGGGAGCTGAGAGCCTGCCTCACCTCCACCACAAAGTCCTGGCAGAGACAAGACATCTCTGCCGAGGAACACCAAAGAAAACCAGCCTCACGGTTTGCCAGAATGCTGACACCCTGGGAATTCACACAGGCAAACTGCAGCAAGATCCCCAGTCAGCACCAACCCTCTCACACACAGCCATTTCAAGCCACTTTTAGTATCTTTGGCATCATTAAACTCCACCAACCCTTGGCCAATAGTTTTCCTTGTCCCTGAGCACACAAGGCCTAAGATTGCCCTCTATATTACATTCTCAATCTCCGCAACTATGTTGCCTCCTACCTTTGATGATCAAGATACTTGCTTCTGCAGGCATGTTTGCTTTGAACAATCCAGCCTCCACCTTCCTCTGCCTCCTCGCTTTCCCTATCTGTTAACAGATTTTGCCACTATTGTTGAAAAGCCACCAGCGTGTGGAAGCTGTGTTGCCATCCAAACCGAGTGAGATCAGGACCTTTAATTTCCAGCGTGGCAGCTGTTGTTTACATCACTTGTTTTCCCCCCCTTCTCACATGCAGTTATTGGTTCTTACAATGTTCTTGCTCTCCCACACATGTACTTAAACAGGAAGCAAGGGGTGGGAGTTGTAGTGTGGGGGTTTCCTGTTCTGTCTTTCTGAAACACTTAACCGACACCAAAGCTTTGATCAAAAGATCTAAGGACACGAGCTGGTACATGGAGGTTCAGCTAAGAGTACATACTGATTACAACAGGAAACCCCAAAGTGCTCCCATGGTTACAGGGTTCCTGGCATCCCGCTGGCACTTTTCAACCTTTTTTAGTAAATAATTTCTTCGTGGGAACACAGGCTAATCTAGAGCAAGAGCAATGCCATTACAGGTTTTGCTTTCCTGGTTACCTAGCAGAGGCAGGGTGAGGGCTCTCCCCCCCAGGCTGCTCAATCAAGGAGTGGGAAACCACAAGCTTCAGCACCTCTCCAGAGATGAAAGAGGCGCTTTGTTGAACCTCGGAACAAAGCGGACTGAACTTTAGACCCTTACCCGCTGGCTCACAGCACCCAGCGGGCCCACAGGCTGCAACCGGCACCCGGAACCCACGAACCAGACCAGCACCCACCCCCCGCGGGCCCAGCCAGCTGCGGGCACGGAGGGTGTGCGGGGA